CCCAGGCGGGTCTCGAACCCGCGGGCTCAGGCAATCCACCCACCTCAGCCTCCCAAAGTGTGGGAAGACAGGCTGAGCCACTGAGCCCGGCTCTCTCACATCTCTTACATGCTACTTGGAGACGGTTTAATCATCTTTCTGTTACTCTGAAAGCCTGAATTCCTAGTGCTCTCATCTGACAGTGTTAGGGACAGACTAGATGCTCACTGTGCCTTAAACTCTGGTGTCATGTACCTAATCCTGAAAGTGGTTTGGCCCTTCCTTCCTGATTTAACATTGATTCAGCCCATATCCAGCAAAGCCAGGCACTATGTTAAGCTCTAAGATACAACTCCTTTCGAGGGTGAAGTGGACAAAACGTTTTCCCTTCCTGGAGCACACAACACAGTCCAGTGAGGAAAGCAAACTCCACATTGATAGAGCGGAGGGAAGGGTTAAGTCTGCTGGGATGTGCCCTCTCCACTCATCAACTGAGTCAATTTGCAAATTTGCAGTTCTCTTGTGGTGCCTTGGGAAAGGCCCTAGGGTTGAGAACCTGAGGTTAGCAGGACACTGTTTCCTTTCCACTGCTGCAGGGTAGTGTGCTAAGTGTTCCAGCTGAAGTATGTCTGAGTCTCTGGGAACATCTTACCTGGGCATTCAAGGCCTGTTATAATCTGCCTGTCATCTCTAATCCAGCCTCATCGACCCCTTTCAAATGTCGCCAGGCCTTCTCACAACTGTGCCTGCCGTTTCCTCTGCTAGAACACCCCACCCAAATGCCTCTGCCTAGAAACTCTACTCCTTCGTCCAGACCCACATTAAAGAGTTGTCTCCCCTGACCAGCCAGGCCAAGAAAGTCCATCCTCTTCTGTGTGCCTCTGAATTATCATTGATCTGTTCAAGGCACTCTTGGATGCTTTTGGCAAAAGTATACATTGACCCAACTTTTTTTAGTGCAGTCTGTAACTAGCTGTTAATAGTTATTAGGGGGATTCCCCCCACAAAAAGTTATTATTTTTTAGAGGGTGACCCCTTGTAGTATAGGTTTCCCCTAATAGGTAAGTGTTCTAGGAACCCACTGGCATCAGTGGACCAGCTAGTGTTGTTGTGAGAGGCTGCATTCAGCTTCAGTGCAATTTTTTGGAGATCCTTTCAATGTGCTTGCCTACTTCATGATGGGTGATTTATAAGTGCACCTGCCCACACCGTGCTGAGCATTCAGCAGTTTCTTACGAAAAATAGCATGACCCCCATGCCCCACCCTCCCTATTCACCGAACCTCGCCTCGTGTAACTTTGTTTTGTTTCCCTGAGTAAAAAAGTCCTCAAAGGGAAGCGTTTTGCCATTGTGGAAGAGGTGAAACAAAAAATGGCAAAGCACTGAAAGACATCAAAATTGACAAGTCTAACAACTGTTTTGAGCAATAGAAAATACATCTCAATACGTGTATTGCATCAAACAGAGAGTATTTTGAAGGTGACTGAAGTTTAAACATGTAAGAATAAATATACAATTTTTTATAAATAAATTCCATTTTTTTGTCTTTTTTTTTTTTTTGGCTGGGCGTGGTGCCTCATGCCTGTAATCCCAATACTTTGGGAGGCAGCGGCAAGAGGATTGCCTAAACCCAGGGGTTTGAGACCAGCCTGGGCAACTTGGCGAGACCTCATCTCTACAATAAATCAAAAATTAGGCATGGTGGCGTGTGCCTATAGTTCAGCTACTTGGAGAGCTGAGGTGAAAGGATCACCTGAGCCCAGCAGATTGAGGCTGCAGTAGCTATGAGTGTGCCATTGCATGCCAGCCTTGGTGACAGAGTGAAATTCCAACTCAAAACAAAAAGCAAAAAAAAACAGGCACAGGGGCTCACCCCTGTAATCCCAGCACTTTGGAAGGCTGAGGTGGGAGAATTACTTGAGGCCAGAAGTTTGAGACCAGCCTGAGCAACAGAGTGAGAACTTATCTCTACAAAAAAAAAAAAAAATCACAAAAATTAGCCAGGTGGTGGTGCACACCTGTAGTTCCAATTACTTGGGAAGCTGAGGTAGAAGGGTCAATTGAGCTCAGGAAGTGAAGGCCATGGTAAGCCGTGATTATGCCATGCACTCCAGCCTGGGAGACAGAGTGAGACCCTGGCTCAAAAACTAAAAAAAAAGAATGAGATGAGACAAAACAATATGTTTGAAACCTAATTTTGGGCCAGGTGTGGTGGCTCACGCCTATAATCCCAACACTTTGGGAGGCTGAGGTGAGAGGATTGCCTGAGCCCATGGGTTTGAGACCAGCCTGGGCAACTTGGCGAGACGTCATCTCTACAATCAAAAAAATTAGCCAGGCATGGTGGTGCATGCCTATAGTTCCAGCTACTTGGAAGGCCGAGGTGGAAGGGTCGCCTGAGCCTAGCAGGTCGAGGCTGCGGTGGCCGTGAGCATGCCACTGCACTCCAGCCTGGGCGACAGAGTGAGACTCCAACTCCAAAAGGAAAAAAAAAAAGAAACCTAGTTTTGTTAAATATGAAATACAACCTAAATAATTATATGCCAAAGTATTAGTAATAGTTATATATCTGAGAGATTTATTTTATATTGCTATAATGTTTTAAAATGAGTGTGCATTATTTTTATAACCAGAGAAAAGATGAAAAGAATAACAATTAAAAAACACTTTTTTCAACTCGTTATGTTTATACGTCTGCCTCCTCTCCCAGACTCAAAGGCAGAGTAGGTGTGTTATCTTTGTAATTACAAGTGCCAGGTGTACAATGGCCCTCAATAAAGGTTTGCATGAGTGACAAATGGAGGGTGTCATCGTTGGAATTTGGGAGAGGGCCATAAAGGACCTGACACTTGTGACAGATGTTCTGAGATGAAAGAGGAGTCACCTTGTAATCAAGGAAGGGAAGGCGTTCAAATCGTGGGAACGGCAGGAGGAAGGGCCCCCGAGGCATGGAGGGTGAGGCGTTTCTGGAGGCTGGAGAGGTGTCTTGATGTGGTGAGGACTGTGAGGGAGCAGGACTGGTGACGTGGCTGGAAGCCAAGATGAAAATGTAGAGACCAGGGAACTAGGCCAGCACTTGCCACCGTTTGGCATGCCTTGGCACATGCTCTAGGTGACCCTGAGGTAGAATGGCTCCTAGACACACTGGACACAATTGGACAGGGAGCTCTGGTCTCCCCAAGCCTGAGGAGAGCCCCTCTTCAGACACCTGGTTGGGAAGGTCAGGCCTTCCTCAGCCTGCTGAGTGTCAGAACCACCTGCAGGCCAGCTTCCCAGGCCCCACCCAAATCCACCTGGGTTTCTCCAAGGTGGGGTGCAGCATACATGTAGGTGATCAGGTTGTTCAGGTGATTGTCACGCACAGCTGCAGGTGCTGGGGAGCCCTGGGAGGTGTTGGAGCTGTGAGGATGGACTTGTCTGGGGAGAAACTGGACTCAGGGTGGCTTCCACAGATGCCTGGAGAGGGATTGTAGGTCTAACAAGGGTAGTGACCACAGGGCTAAGGAGATGAGGATGAATTGAGATCTCTCTAGAACCCTCAGTATTGATGCCCATTCAGCCATGAGGGCTGTGAGGAGAGGAGCTGATAATACATATATATATATATTTTTTATTGGAGTCTCACTCGGTCTCACTCGGTCACCCAGACTGGAGTGCAATGGCCACTCTGGCCACTGCAGCCTCGCTTGCTGGGCTCTGGCGATCCTTCCGCCTCAGCCTTCCAAGTAGCCAGAATTACAGGCATGTGCTACCACGTC